GTTCTAAGGGGGGGAGGGGTGATTAAAATTTTTTTTCTTTAATTCAGGTTAAAAATGTACAAGTAAAATTTTTGGTACTATTTAAGTCAAGTGAATCCTTAATAATTGCGGTTTTTTTTTTTTTAATCTTATGCCGGATTCACTTAGGATGGACTTTTATGTAGTTCTTTTTTAACACCTATCTGTGTTTTGACAGTTTCGCTTGTGTTTTATTTGATTTTTCATTAAGTATGGACCAGGGCTTAAATCAAAATAATATATATTGTTTATCATTATGGGACAATTAAACATTATAAGCAATTGAGCGTTTAACACTATAAATAATTTAAAGGTTATTCAATTTAAGTGTTTAAACGTTATACAAATTTAAAACGTTATGAACAATTTAGCGTTTTGCATTATTTAAATTAGTGTAAAATTTGAAATGTTTTCAAATGTAGTATTTAGCAATAAATACTATGTAAAATAACATGATAAATTTAAAATATTATATTATATTATATATATATATATATATATATATATATATATATATATATACATTACCTTTAACCAGTAGTGTATTGGTAAATATATTTGTGATACACGCACTAAAAAAAAATATGGATATTAATGCTAAAATTAATTTTCTTACTTCGGTCGACAATTGTTTTCTCTCGATACATTCGAAAAAATTTAATTAATCCTTTGTTAACTATGACGCGGTCCCGCTGTGGTGCAAGTACATTAAGTACACCACTATCGTGGAGCTGCGCTCGCTCTCTACCCAGCCTCAATCCGGGCAACGACAACACCGTTTCCGATACTACCCACCTACCTCGGAAAACCGGTCATAGATGGGAAAAGTTATCGGAACAGATGGCAACGTACCGACCGGTCCCCTCAAGTCACTAACTTTTGCCCGTGACCGCCATGGAAGCCACACCTTACCGTTTTCCATCACCGTCACCAGAGTAGACGTACCATCACCGTTCATAAATTATTTCTTGTGTTTTTATCCTTAGAATAAATTACACTTTCGGATACATAATTGTTTTGTTCTTTTGACTTATCCGCAATTCAATTGTGACCGACCACCTCATCGAGAAACCTCCAGCAATCTAAGGCCATGTCAACTACATGTTTATAACTTCTATTATGTCTATAAAATATAACACCACAAGATATACATTTGCAGTGCGTTATAAGTTGCATGATGCAGATTTAAGAACCATGGACTGAATGTTCATACTCTATACTATTTTATTCAATGTTATTCACTACAGTTGACAAAATACATTAAACACAGCGTACACTGTAATCTTCAACAGATAAATATTTGAATCATTTTCTCAGTTAATATCATACTAATTTTTTCCAATGAACTATTAAATTGTTATTAATTTTTTTGTTTTCGAGTTATATTAGAAACGTACACCCGTAAAATAATATTTTATATTGGGCATACGCCAAAAATCGAAAATCTGCTACTGTGTATACGCCGTATACCCGCGTATACGTATCAATACACCCCTGTCTTTAACGATATTTTCTTTTTGTAATTTTTATAATTCAGAACTTATAAATAAAGCAATCATATTTTTTGTATAACAACAATAAAATATACATATCACTTAAAATATGTATTTATTGCAAATTTATAACTTATGTATGGTGCATTACTCAGTGGCGGCTTGTGATGTTCAAAGTGGGTGGTGCGCAAAAAATAAATCACAAAAGTTTAATTACAAATAAATTAGATTCAAAATGCCATTATCATGATATTTATTGGATTTTAGATATTTTTAAAACATATATTATGAATTATAATATTACATATTTGTCATAATTTATTGTATAAATATATATATATATATATATATATAATTATTATATATTATTACAATAAGCAACAGTGTCATAATTAATTATAAAAAGTAGGTACACAAAAAAATGAAATATTTTTATATATAAAGTAAATTCTTCTCTCATTGGAATTGGTAAATTGTTCTATGACTTTATTATTGAAATCAGTTATATTCATTACAAAGTTTCTTTCGATGGATAGCATTGCTAACGCCGATAATCTTTCTTGATGCATTATATTACGTAAAAAAGTTTTGATTCTTTTTAATGTAGAAAAACACCTTTCTAATTCCGTTGTAGACATTGGTATTGTAATAATAATTTTTAACAGCTTCATGCTCTCACCTTATATACCAGTAAGGTTTTCAGATTGTATAAATTATAATAATGAAACAGCTCCACTCATGGATCTAAATTTAGTTCTACTATAGATTAATTGTAATTCGGTTTTTAGTTTTTTAGTGTCAAAATATACATATACATTTATAATTTCATTAAAATAATCTTCCAGAAAATGCTTATCATATTTTTCAAAATTATCGGCCAAAAATAAATTTGAAGTAACCAGATGACCAGTAAAATCAAATCTTTGTTTTATTTGAGATATAATATTATCACACACTTCAATTGCTTCCCGTTTTAGTTCGCCTTCTCTGTATTTTCTTTCAATACCACTTTGTTCAAAATTACCTTCACGTAATGTTCCCATTTGGTTACTAATTTTGGAATAAATTTATTATCAAGTAACGTTCTTTTTAGTCCTAATGCTTATTCAATAGTAGGTATATGTTTAATGGATTCATCACTTATTATTTTTTCCATGTAAGTAATTAATTCTTCTCTATACTCGAACACAGTATTTACTGTTCTAAAATGAAAATTCCATCTTGTATGAGCTGCTTTAGGTAAACGTTTTTGAACAACTTCATCCAAAACAGCAGTTCTTTGAGAAGACGTTGAAAAAAATGTACAAAAACCTCCAAGGCTAGCAAAAAAAAAATCTGAACATTCCTATTTATCGAAGCAGCATTATCCATAACTAAATTAAGCTGGTGAGCGTAAAAATGTACATAATTAGCATTTGGATAATGTTGTTTAATTTTTGCCTGAACTCCGTTAATATTACCGCTCATAACTGAAGCGCAATCAAAAGCGCAATGTCTGTGCAATCAATTTACCAGTGACATCACCAATATGTTAGGCAAGTTGTTCTTTAATGCACTCAGCTAATACTTCAGAATTATGTTCTTTAGGCTTTAAAAATCCCCAAAATCTTTCAATAACTTTATCATTAACTATATACCGATAAACAATAACCATTTGAAAAATAGCACTCACATCAGTAGTCTCGTCAGCTGTTATTGCTAAATAATCAGCCTTTTTGATTTCTACTGATATTTCTTGCTGAAAAATATTTAACATGCACTTTAATATTCGTTCTGTATAGTTTTTGACGTACCTTTAAAAACGGTTGCTTTTTCTAAGTGCATTTTTAATGTACTATCCAATTCCGCACTAAAACTTATTAAACTACGAACAATTTTTGAATTCAAAGATGTATCTCTTTCAACATGCCCTCTCAATGCTAATTCGAAAGCGCCACAAAATCTAATGTAATTAATAATTACATTTGTTGTAGTACCTCCGCTGGGAGGCCTCTACACTCTGTCTAATCTGTCGTTATTTATTTTTATTTTATTTTATATTTATTTAATTCATCAATTGTTCTTATTGTTCTATTTTATTGTAACAGATTGAATAAAAATCTTTTAATAATAAAAAAAAAAAAAAAAATAACTACATTCAAAATGTATCGATTGTTGGAAACTTTCTCATTGTGTAGCTCTATACTTAAGTAAAAAAATACATGTTTAAACGACCAAACAGTAATATAAATAAAGTATTTAAATAACTCTTCTGTAACTGCTATCCAACATTGAAAGAACATTTGTTTTACCTAACGTTGCTAAATTCAAGGTGTTATTCATATGTTTAACAGTTAAGTCGTGTTTTTTCATTCGATCATTTAAATGATTTAAATCTATCATTCCTGTTTTGGTCCATACCATTTCTCCACCAAATAATAAATATGGAAAACAAAAAACTGCATTACGTTTATCACAACCACAGAGCCAATTATTATACTTTGTGTAAGTATCAATGGTAAATGAACGCGTAAATTGACGTGTTTTCTTTTTAATGACTTGTATTAATTTCAAATCAGGCTTAGGTCTTCCTAATGTTTTATTTTAATTTTTTCGTCAGTTGTATGTAAAGAAAACTTTTTTTCTAAAAGATAATCAACCGAATTCATTATTTATATTGTTATATAAATGAAATTGTGAGTATGATGAAATAAAGCTATTACACATAACAGTGGACAGAGGCGAAATGATTACTAACATATTTTATTATTATAAAGTTCTTTTGTAAAACTAAATAATACATTTATTGGAATAAATATTACGATAATAATGTCGACAATAGAAAATACGGTGGACTATTTCTGATAAGACACGCCGTGACGATATTGTTTACCGTGTGTGTTACCGATTGTGCAGCAATTGCTGCACACTACGGACCCATTTATGCGTCAACCCCCTCTCCATCGACGACGGAGAATATTTCACAGGCTGAAAGTGTTCTAATTACAGTCCGGCTCACGAAAAGTGAACGTTCAAGGTCGATGGGTGGTGTCCAAATGTTGTTGAATCCAGGGGTTCTCCGTTTTGTACTATTTACCTACCGCTGGCCATCTCATGATCCATGATTCGTTTTGGCGGAACCATATTCAATAGACATTCCTTTTATGTTAGCAGCTGCTACTCTACCTTTTTTTAAAGGCAGACCCTATATTGTGTTTAACATTACAATTATCATTCCTCGTGAGCTCGACATAGTGAACGCACGTGTTTAGTTAACAGTGATACAATATTTGGTCTGCTTTTGGTGTTATAACAATACATAGTTTGTTCAATTAATACTAATTTTTAATTATTTAACGTTAAAATGCCTTTTAAAAACAATGATAATCGTAGTCAAACCAAAAAAGTTATTTTTAATGTGTACAATTATTTAAAAAATCTGGCTACTTCAGATGACGAGGTCTTAAAACAATATTTTAAACAGACTCAAAAAATTACTGCGGACGCGTGTGGTGTATCTCTTATGACAGTAAGACGAGTGTGTGCAGAAGGATCATCTACTACTGACGATGTCTCAGACTCGTCACAACCTGGACCGTCATTTAACTCATCGCGAAAAACGTATAAACGGAAAAAGTATGCCACAGAACTGGACGATTTCGATAACGATGTTGTTCGACGAACTGTGCATGAATTTTATGAAAAAGGCAGGGGCGGATTGGCCCACCGGGAATTCGGGAGTTTTCCCGATGGACTGGACGTCTGGCCTGCTCTAATAAAAAATTAAAATAAAAAAAGGAAATAAAATAGGAATATTTATAATGGAGATGGTTTTAGTTACCTATCTCTTTTATTGTTAATAAATTATGATATCATGTTTACAATTTAAATAGTTAAATGGTATCTCGTTCACATTCTCTCGTGGCTCGAAGTATAGGTATGTTCGCATCGGCCATTGAACAAAGCATAGCGACATAGCGTTTATAACTTCATGCTAATCAGTTTATCAGTATTCAGTTAGTAATCACCGCGACACTGCACCGCGCCACCGCACCCGTAGGCCGACCATTATCTCCCACGTTTCTCAACTCGCCGACGACGCACTTGCATGTTTTACTGTTCAGGTGTTCTAATATTAGTTTGAGTTTTTTGAAAATAATACGTGTGACAGACAACAGTTGAACAGTATGAGTGACGGAATTTCTGCTTTTAAAAGGAAAGGTGGTGCAGAAAGAAGTAGAGACAAGAAAAAGCAGCAACTCCATGAATCAGCAAAAAAATGCAAATCGATTATCGATGTTTTTGCCACTGCTAACAATAAGGTATAAAGAGATGTATAGTAAAGAGATAGATAGTAAATTTAATAATAATAACTTTTTGTAAAATGTATAAAACAATAGAACTTTATGAAATAAAAATACTGTATAATTACATATAACAGGTAGTGTTGTACCTGTCAATTGATTTATGATTAAATTAACAAATTATTATTTTTTAAGTCAAAATCGAATTCAATTAAAGACCAACTATTATTTATTTTAGACCATTCTAGAAAATGTGGAAGGTGTTGATGATAGTAATGATACAAGTGATACAACTATACTTGCTAAAAAACCAACTTATAACGCTTTAAAAAACTATGAAAATAGTTCTGCTTATGATTCTCCTGCAAGTTCTTCTTTAGCATCTTCCTATCAACTAGTAAGCTTTAGTACAATTTGTTTGCTTTTTAATATACCTATGAACTAATTAGGTATATTGCTAGCCATTAAATTATTTATTTGTATACAATTAATAAATTGCACAAAGTAGTTATTTAAGTAGTTAAGTAAGTAATTAAGCATCTAACAATTGAATTAAACATATTTTGTTTTGAGTAATTGATGGAAATATATTTTGGTTGATTGTAAATACAATTATATGATGCTTATTACTTATATTCTTAATGCTTAAGGCTTCATTTTTTTTAATGCTTAATTTACAGGCTGTAAATAAAATTAATAATACCGTTGTAGAACTTGATTTTGGTTCAGCTTCAACTAATACTTCTACAGACTTCAAATATTTTAAAAAGCCAAAATCATTAACATTAGGAGAGTTTTTTGATTTTCATCCTCATCAGCCACATCTAACCAATCCATTCAAATTGTCAAAAGCATTTTTAGGCAAAAATAACATTCAGCGTCGTTGGTTAACATACGATGAATGTTCTAAAAAACTATTTTGTAGTGTGTGTTTAGCTTTTTCTTCTGAACAAAATATTTTTACTGATGGTTTCAATACTTGGAGCCATATTTATCAAAGAATACAAGAGCATGAAATTATTAAATCTCACAATTTATCTTCAGAGGCTTTCTTAAACTTCTCAAGTAAAAAGACTATTGATTATCGGCTGTTTAGTGAACATTTACACAAAAAAAAAATAGAAGTAACCAAAAACCGAAACATTCTACAAAGAGTTATAGATGTTGTAAAATTAATTGGCAAAAGAGGCTTAAGTTATAGAGGTCATAGAAATGAAGGAGCAGACAGCTTAAATGATTCTACTCTCGATCATGGTAATTTCCTAGACATTTTATTACTTTTGAAAAAGTATGATGTGGTTCTTAGTGAGCATATTGATTCGATAACTAAAAATGCTAGTGAAAATCATAAAAGAGGAAAAGGCAAAGGTAGAGGTGCATCTTTGACATTTATTTCTAAAAGTACTGTGAACATGGTTATAGATTCTATATCATATTTTATGAAAAAATCAATATCGGATGAAATTAGAGATGCTGTTATGTTCTCTGTCCAGTTGGACACCACACAAGATATTTCTGTACAAGATCAATGCTCTATAATTGTTAGATATGTGAACTACAAAGGTATTCAAGAAAAATTATTGGCTGTAATAACTGTACAACAATCTACTGGCAAAAGTTTTAGCGATATGCTTCAAGGTGTTTTAGCTGAAAATGGTCTTGATATTACAAAATGTGTTGGAAATACAACTGATGGGGCAGCAAACATGCAAGGACAATTTAATGGATTTTCTGCTTGACTTGAGAAGTCAACACCAAATCAAGTTCACGTTTGGTGCTATGCACATATTTTGAATTTAGTGATCATTGATTCTACCAAATCACCTCTGAAAGCAGCAGCATTATTTGTCACTCTTAATGATCTTGCTAATTTTTTCAAAGAGTCATATAAAAGAATGAACGTTTGGGTGAATACAGTAGGTGAAAATAATAAAAAAACGTTTACAATCTATAGGTAACACACGGTGGTGGTCAAAAGAACTGGCGTTAAAACATTTATTTGGATCTGATGGTATGTACATTGATGTGATATTGGCCTTGAATTGCATACAGATTTCAAATGAATTCACACCGGAAGCTAGATTAAAGGCCAAGACTTTAAAAAATTCAATTTTAGAATACTCAACAATATTAACAGCATTTATTTACATAAGAATTTTTAATATTGTTGGCCCATTGTCTAAATATCTACAAACAAAGGGTATGGATTTATTAAAATGTCAAGAGATGGTTAGTGCAGCTATTAAAAATCTCAAGTATATTCAAAGAGATATGGATGGAGTTAAACTGATGGCAAAAACATTCATTGATACCATGTCAGAAAAATTAGAATTAGTAGAAACCGAAGACATAGACATAGACATAGTAATTGAAACTGAGTTACCTGTAATTAGATCAAGAAAACGAAAAATACTGTCTGGTGAAAAAAATAATGATGAACCAATTACAGATCCTGAAATAAGGTATACTGTGGAAGTCCATAATTTGATCTTGGACAATACTATTGGAAGCATGGAAAAAAAGTTTTCAAAAAATCAAATTTTATATACTGATTTTGCATGTTTGTCACCTGCCAATTTTGATGATATAGAGAAAAAGAATTTGCCATCCAATGCTTTAATAGAGCTAACCAACAAAATCAAACAGTTTGATGAAACAATTACAAAAGATAGCTTACAAAATGAATTACTTAGTTTTTCTAGTAATTGGAATGAGCTAAAAAAATCTGTACCCGAATCGTATGAAGTTGATACCTATGATGAAATTCAAGATGAAGAAGGTATTGAAAACAAAAATACATATAAATCACATTGCAAATCATGTATGAATTGTTCTATTTGTTGTTACCTTGTACTTCAAAAATACAATTTATACAGCAATGCTTATAGTCAGTTAACCGTTGCTTATAAATATCTTCTGACATTGCCATGCACACAGGTAATTTTTGTAAAACATTCGTTTCTTAATTAATTTGAACCATAAAATATAATATTAACAATAATAATAAATGTTATTAGTCGAGGCTTAGTTATTAATATTTAGTAACAATTATTTGCATGTCTTTTTAGGTTGCTTGTGAAAGATCGTTTTCTATATTAAAGTATTTAAAGAATAGACTTTGTAGTACTTTAAATGAAAGCAAACTTGAAGCTTTTATGATTATGTCCATAGAAAAAGATACACTTTTCAACATAAACAACGATGAAGTTATCGATCGCTTGAAAACTAAAAGCAATTTGTTATTAAGAGAGCTGTCTTATTAAGTAATTTAAATAATTTTGTAATAGACTAACCAAGTATGAGATGTTCATCAATCATAACTTTAAAAAAAAAATAAACTGAACTAAAACTGTATTAACTACTTGCTTGAATATATACTTTAATACTTACTTGAATTATATTATTTGTGAAAAAAAATTGTTCTAAATAGTATAAATTAAAAAACAACTGATTCAGATTTTAAAATATAAAATAAGAACAATTGAGGCGTGTAGTTTCAAAACCAGCCATAACCAATTTTTAAAAATTTTCAACACCTCAATTTTAGAGTTGTGAATTTTAGAATTTTAGAGTTCTGAACTTTTAGAAATATCTAAGGGTGATAATTGGGGCTGTACTTAATTCAAAGGAAAGAGAGTCAAATATAAAAACATTTTGCCACAATTTTTTATGTATAATACGATACCTATTATATACCTATCATAGTAAATTGGTTATTTTATGAAAATAAACAAATTTTGGTGGTTGAAACCTAAAAATTTCTTGAACTTGGCCGTAACTTAACATCATTGACAACGACTGCGCGCTGGTTTATTTACACTTTTCCCGCACCAAAATGTTTTCCCAATCCGCCCCTGGAAAAAGGTGAATACCCTACATCAAGATTAATTTTAAATTTTATTCAACAAAAATTTGATTATAAAGGTAGTCTTGCTTCCATGAAAAGATTGTTGACAAAATTAAAATTTACGTATAAAAAATGTAACGACGGACGTAAATTTTTAATGGAGCGAAACGTCATTGTTGCCTTTAGGTGTAAATTTTTGCGTACGATGTGTACACTCCGAAAAAATAACGATTCCCGTCCTGTAATTTACTTAGACGAGACCTGGGTGAATCAAAAACACTCTAAAACGTATATATGGCAAAATGAAGATGAAACTGAAGGTTTAAAAGTACCTACCGGTAAGGGAGGTCGGCTCATTGTTTGCCATGCAGGTTCAAGTCATTATGGTTTTATTAAGGAAGCAAAATTAATTTTTCGTAGCAAATCAGGCAATACGGAAGACTAACATAATCAAATGAATGCTGAAGTTTTTAGATCTTGGTTCGTACAAATGTTGCAATCCCTTGAAGAATCATGTGTCATCGTCATGGACAACGCTCCATACCACTCAATGTTGGAAGATAATTTTCCAAAAAGCAATGCCCGAAAAGCCGATATACAAGAATGGTTAAACAAAAAAAATATTGATTTTTCTCCACTTGAAACAGTTGCTGAACTTCGTGAAAGAGTTAAAGTTTTAATACCAACCGAAAAAAAATACGAGCTGGATGAATTGGCCCTTAAAATGGGACATGAAGTTGTACGGTTACCACCTTATCATTGTCAGTACAATCCAATCGAAATGATATGGGCACAAGTTAAGGGACAAGTTGCATCTAAAAATACAACATTTAAGATGGCTGATGTTGAAAAATTAATGCACGAAGCAATAGATTCGGTGAAAAAAGAAAATTGGGTAAATTGCGTTCGTCATGCTGAAAGAATACAGGACGAAGATTATCAAAAGGAAAAACATAGAGAAGTAATTTTAGAGCCTATTATTCTCACAATACGACCAGGTGACAGCAGTAGTGATGACGACGATGAAGAAGACGACATATAATTTATTTGTGTAATATGTATATACCTACTTTAATTTAAATTATTTTATATTTGTGTTTCTTAAAATTTTTTTGTATGATTAAATTGTGATTCTTTTTGGAAATTAAATGTTTAATATCGATATTTAAAATAGTTTATGCATCTTTTCCTAATTGTAACATCCATAAATGTGTTTAATATTATTGTAATGTATATGTTGTATAGTGGTATGAACAATTTAAAAAAACGCGGCAAACGGGTTTAATAATCACTTGTTGAAAACGGCCACGGGGATCGCTGATATCAACGTTCATTTTTCGTGAGCTGGACTATAAGCTGCACACTAGATGATGTATGTATCTTACATAATTAACCAAATTTTAGGAGTAGTATTTTCGAGTTTCGGTGAATATGAAATGTTTGTAAAATTTATTTTGTATAATAAAATAAATATAATTTAGCAGATAATTCAATTAAATTTAAATTAAATTTTACTTTTATATTTATGATAATTTATGCGGTGTGCGCACACCTGCACACCTAGGCACGAGCTGCCACTGGCATTCACCGAAATTATTTTTGATGAGGTAGGCTATACGGGTTCCGCGCCAACAATATTCAACATATTTTCAGAAAACATATTTTTAAATTATAATTGGTAATGCTTATTTTTATATAATTAGTTGATAAATGTATTGCTGTTTTAAACTTCTTTTTTGTATATATTTTATTTAGACTACCTAGTAATTTAAGTCAATTTTACAAAAATAACTAACTATGTTCCAAATCTATTTTACTGATAGTTATAAATATTTTTCGATGGCAATTTCTTTAGTGTTTCCGTCGTTAATCGTTTTCTGTTATGTTATTCGATATTAAAAAAATATTATTATAAATATAAATTCGTTTTTCGTTTCTGTTTCGTTATCTGTTATCAATTTCAATCGCTTTTTGAATAGTTTAACGTTATACCATTGATTATAGAATAGATAGATAGTCCATGATATAGAGATATTAGGCTACTAAAATTATGTTTGTTCTAGCTGCCGATAGAATGCGTTGTTTAATAGAAAAGATAATTATTTTACAATCTGTATAGATAAATACAGAACGAGTGTCGAGCGCTGCCGTACTGGGCGGGGCGGGCCACGGGTGCTCATAACTCAGTATTGCATTGCGCCATTGTGGTCAGAGTTATTTATACATTTTATTGATATTTAATTCCTAGCACTCGTACCTAATGATTTACTATTTTAAATGATATGATTAAATTGATAATTAAATATGATTAAATCCGTTTACGGCGGAATTTTACAGATTTTACCGAAATTACTCAGTTTTTCAACAGTTTCTCACAATTTGTCCAAGTAGATGTGCATAAAGAAAAAATACAATTACTTCTTATCAAAGTCCTAATCGTTCTGGCTGTTGGATTCTTGTTATAACCACCCTTTTGTCGAAAAATACTAAAAAGATTTTCTAATACATCCTGATTCAAACGGTTGGTCATTAAAAATACTATATCATTAGATTTTTCTTCTTCAAAAAATTGCAATACACCATTAATGGTCTGCTTAAAACCTTTAAAACAGGGTGGTTGTGTTAATTTTCCTTTTTTTAATTTATGTAAATCTGTGAAGTATTGCGAAGCTTCTAATAAAAAATGTTTTACAGTACCTGAATCAGTTAATGCACAGAGATATGGATTATGGCTATATAAAGACCGGCTATTTATCTGCTGTGTTTGAAGCAGTGCTATTTAGAAGTTGTCCTGTTTGTATGCAAGTTCGGATTGTTGCTGACATTGAATTGCTTAGTAATTATGTGGCTAATTTAACATGCATTTTTTGAAAAAAATTTGGATAAATATGAGCATCTGTTATTTTAATGAGAGACCTATTTTTATGATTTTTTAAGTCTAACTCATAAGTTTTTTTTTATGTCATCAAATGAGATTATATTATCACCTTTAATAAAACAGGCTTCAATTAAATTATTTCTTACACTTTTAATTAAATGTGGAACGTCAAATATAGAAAATATTTTATTATTATCAACATAAAAATATGGGCTATCTTCTGAAATATTTAATGATTTTAAAGTACTTTGATTATTTGTGCCTTGATCGCAAACAACTTTTGGACACAATCCTACTTCAAATAAATTTTTAAGGACGTCAATTATTAAATTTTTTAAATTGATTTTGTCAACACCAGAATGAGAAAGAAAATAGGCGACTGGAAATTTCCACGGTGAATAAATACCTCGAACCATAAACACCAGAACACAGTTAGCACTTTTATTTGTCCTGCCATATTGACCTAAGTCTTCAAAACCTTCAATAAAATCAAATTCTTTGGAATATTCTATAAATTCTTTTATATACATCTCATCGAAACAAACAGTGCATACTTTTTCTTTATAATCAGTTGATTCAATTTTTTTTTTAAGATGACTGAAAAATATTTGATTAAAACCTGGTAAGAATTTTGATTGACCTATCCAATGACGAATTGTTGAAAGTCCTGGTAAATTTACTTTTTGGAACGTAAAAATTTATATGCACTGGGTGATTTATAATATAAATTTAAAGCCAAATTTTTTTCATTTAATGTCCATGGACGTTGTCTATCTTTTAATTGCATAGTCACAATTACTTTGGAGTTAATTTATGTAAATTTATTGAATTTTTTAAATTATTATAGCGATTAAAACATCTACCTCTTTTTTTTAATTTTGAAATATGTGTAATTTTATTATGAATAATTTTATTTTTTTGTTTTAAAATTAATTTTCTAGGAGTATTTTTTTCTAACAAATCACAATTCCTTTTTAAATTTGAGTCTGGCATTTGTATTATATCTGTAATTTTAGTTTTATTAGGAGTAGATAACGATGAAGAGGGGCTAGAAAAAACTAACTCTACCATGTCTGATTTTGTGTGTGTATAAGTATTTACTGGAGTTGAAATTGTAAGACATTCTTGTTTAGATGCATCATTTTGGTTAAAACCTAATAATGTAGATGGTTGTTGTTTTTGCTCAGATTTATATTTATATGGAATAGCAGTGCTTACTAAACGGATTTTATTAAATATATTTGTAAAGCTCTCGGGAGGAAATGCTCTTGACAAATGTACCTGTTGTGAAGTTTTTCCTGTTCAATTGAGAACAAACTTGAGTTTCCTGTGGACGTAGAGATAAACCAAGTATAATAATTGTTTGAAAATAATCATACATAGATATTATGGAAATTTATTGGTGTAATGACCTAATTGGTGTAATACTAATTATACAATGTTTTGATAATTAAGCAAGAAAAAAAAATAAAGTATCCAACTATTATTACTCCAGTGTAATAAATAATAATTTTTTTGTTATGTATTAAAGCATTATTAAAATACTTTTATAAAAATATTTAAAACAAATTTTAAATAAGTATTATTTGTTTTTTATAATTAATTAATTAGTACTTAACATGAACTTAGTGATATAGTTTTTTATATAGATTTACCTATATTGTTCATTATAGGTACCTACACCAAAACTCCAAAACAAAAAATCAGTTTATATGTGTTTGATAAATAATATACAAATAACAAAATAAGTTGCTAATAATGAGTTCACAGAGTAAATCGTAAAATATTGACGAAATAATGATAATAAAATAATAATCACTAATTTTATCGATTATAATGGGAATAAATATAATGGTACTTCAATTTTTCATTATACATGAAAAATGATTCTATAAATAGAAAGACGGTATTTTTCGCCGATCCACGCGATTGCCTTCCCGTCTTCATGACTATCTATGATAGAGGTACCACCACCTTTCATCTAGTTCCCACCGCGTTCGTCGTTCATCTACTTATGATAGAGGTACCACCACCTTGCATCCTAGCTCCCACCGCGTTCGTCGTTCATCTACCTATGAGAGAGGTACCACCTCCTTGCATCACAGCGACGCCAGCGCTCCATAGCGGTTGCATCTTACGAGTAGTCGCCAAATATTAACATTGCGTTGACTATCTATCTATTCTATAATCAATGGTTATACTTATAACGTTATAAAAACGTTTTATTGCCCTGGTATGTACACTAAGTATCGTTATAAAATGATCCACATTAAAAAAAATTGAAAGTTTTATCTCATATATGATAAATTCCTTAAATACGGATTCGGGGGGGGGAGGCGATCGCCCCCTTCGCCCCTTTAAAATACGTACCTGGTTCTAACAAATTGTATAATTTTCTTGACAATTCCTTTAACAGTGGCTTCAGCTGAACGATCTTTTTCCAAACTTAAATCGATAAAAAAATAATTGAGGAATTCTACTCCCAAAAAAAGATTGAGTAGTACATCACTGTTAAGTATTGAAAGAAGTCGCACTAATGAAATAAATATTGAAAAGATTATTACTGATTTTGCAAATGCTAAAGCTCGGAAGAAAATTTTTTTTTAATACTTAAATATTATGAAATATGAAATAGGTATAATATTATTATATAATAATACAATAATAGTAATAATTATTTTAATTTTGATTTCTAGTGTTAACTAAAATTGTTAGTTTTATATTTTATTTAAATCATATTTATAAAATCAATAATCATATATTCATATTATATATTTTATCTATCTTTTTAGTTTATTCTATAAGTTTTTTATTTGTAAAATCTACCCAATATACATTTGTGATCTTGTATATCTACTAAGTTGAAGCTTTACATAGAATTGTTTCAGCGAGAAAAATATCTATCGGTTCTTAAAAATTCAATATATCCACAAATACGATCCCATCTAAGGAGTCAAACATTCCCATAATGTGAAGACAGTCCGACTTTTTTATATATCTCAAGAAAGAAGGACCCATGTACATTTGTTTGCAACTGGGTCTTTGACACTCTAGGCACGGTGTTGACCGCCGTCTTTGACCCCGTCGTCGCCGTCGCGCAGCAGCCGCTGGATGTCGGCGAACGTTTTGCCCTTGGTCTCGATCGCGTACCGGTAAGTATACGCAGCGCCGGCCGCGTTGACCACGGTAAACAGGCAGAACATGGCGTGGGTCCCGTACCGGTGGGACACGATTAGGAACATTTTGTTGGTGGCGAACGAGCAGAAGGCAAGCGTAATGGACGCGACTGCGGAACAGTGCGAACGTATGTTGACGGGGAACATCTCGCCCAGGTAGACGACGGGCACGAAACCGACGCCAGCGGCGAAAGCGACCGCGAACGACGCGTGGCATAGGTATGGCATCCACGCGAGCCCGGACACGTCGACGCCGCGTGCCGCCAGCCAGTAGTAGAACGCGAACGCGGCCGTGATTGCGGCCATAGCTGCCTCAGAGCCGAACAGCAGTGGCCTGCGGCCGCATCGATCCACCAGTGTGGCGGCCGCCAAGTTGATGACCACAAGGGCCACGCCGAAGAGCGTGACGTAGCCAGAGCGGCCCATTAGTGGCGCGGGCTCGGGAAGTATGATTGCGGAGTACGCGAGTATGCAGCTGATGCCGCCGGCGCGCTGCGACACGCACGCCATCACCACGATGCCGAGCGCGCGCATGTCCTTGCGGCTGGTGAACAGCTCGCGGAACGACCCAGGGTTTTCCATCTCGTGGCGTACGTCTGCATCCATGCGTCGCAGCTCTGCGTCCACGTCCGCGTCCGCGTCGCACCGGTACCACTGCAGGCACTGGGCCGCGTCCGCCGACCGTCCGCGCTTCAACATGTAGTACGGTGACTCGGACAGCCACACCGCGGCCACCAGGAACGCAACCGGCACCACGGCCGACATGGCGTTGAGCGCGCGGTACGAGATGAGCGGCCCGACCACCGCCTCGATCAGGAAGCCCAAGTGCAGCTGCACGCAGAACACACTGCCCAGTGCCCCGCGGATGTTCACGCCAGCTATCTCGCCTAGGAACACCGGCACTACCGTGTACGATATGCCCTTGCCCATACCCGCCATCAGCCGGGCCGTGTACAGCGACCACGTGGTCGGCACGTACAGCGTTAGCAGCCACGTGGCCAGGAACAGAGGACCGAGCATCACCGTGCTCGGCTTCCTGCCCACTCGGTCCATCAGGTAACCGGCTATCAGTGGGCTGATCACGTTGCCTAGGTCCATCATGGACACGATCCATGACAGCTCGTTCATGTTCACCTCCACGTCCGTTTCGTGATTGATAAACTTCTCCACCACCGAGCTGGGCCATCCTAACCACATGCCGCTGATCAATATCGACGTCGTGGCTGCCGCGGCAACGATGGAAGCATGATTAACATTATCATGATTATTTTATTATTACTATTATTACTATTTTTATTTTATTTTTGACATGATATAGATAATCACCAAAAACTAACTTGTACTGCCTATTAGGTTGGAATGTAAATAATGCTTTTTTTAAAAAAAAACCGCATTTTATTAACTATAGTAGTGAACTGTGCTGTGGATTCTTGTATTTGGTTTTAGTTATACATTCGAGTTTATGTGGTAAAGAAATCAGTTGTGACATTTAAATGTCAGGATAAGCTAAAAAGTTAACCTTTTTAAATAATTTTAACTATTTTATCTTTACAAATATTACGTGGAAGTTTTTTGTTGTCACATATTTTCTTTGAAATATCCCAACTCACCCGTCAATTACTAGTCAATTACCTTCTTTCCTATTAGGGCTGGATTATAATATAGGTGCAAAAGGAGCATTAGATCCAGGAATGAAAATTTAGTGGGTTGGCATAAATAAAATTGCTTCAAAAAAAGTTTTTTGATTATGATTAGAAAAAAAAATATAATATATTATATTATAGGGTTTTCTACAGTGTGCAACTTTTGTATCAGAAGTCATTTATGTATGCTTTATTGGTAGACCTGTTATTATAATTTATAGTATTTTTTTTATCTCCGATTTGATTTTTAGTTGTTGTTTTCTTAATTGTTCAATTTTACACTTTAGATATAAAAACAGATTTTGTAGAAGATTTGGTACAGTTCAAAATGTATGTTTAAAATGTTCCGTCAAAAACCAAAAAAACTTTTACATCACAACTAAGAACACTGAGGCACTATTCACTATATAGGTAACGTATCGGTCCGATCTCGTAATAGTCACGGTTAAATTTCGGTCCCGAGTCGTTCATACTTGAACGGTAACATTACGGTGACAGTCTAGTCATTTTGCTAGGTCTCTAAGTATAGACAATCTCAATCAGATGAATTTGTAACATTTGTAATAATTCAAAATATTTTTTTAAATGACTAGCTATGGCTGTGAAATGGAAAATAGATAATAAATAAAAAATTGTAACTAAACTTTACCAAATCTATACGAGATTTTTTAATTTAAATTTCGTAAAATGAATAATCAAGAAGAAATTGCGAATGCTATGACATATTATATTATAGTGTACAGTGATTTTTTTGAAATTTTAACAGGTTTTTTAAAATGTTGTTTTATGAATCATGAAATCATGAAATCAGCATTGTGAATTATATTTTGTGGATTTTCAAGATTCCAGGTACAAGGTTTTTGTTCATATAGCTCATGAACTCCAAAGAAGTTCGTTTGACCATTCCATATTTTTATACAATATTATTTAAATAAATAAAACTAAAAAAAATTAAAAAAAGACTGAAAAAATTACTAATTTTGTTTTATTCACACGCAATATACACGAGCCACATACGTCAATGGGAACACGTTAGATCGGGTTAAGGAACTGAGAGCATTGAGCGCGCGGTGCGTCCCAATTGCATGCCACGTTTTGCAGGGGTCTGTCCGAATTTTATGCCGGGGTGTCATGTGTTTGGTTGAATTTTTAAAAATTGCAATGTGATTGGGAAATTTAGCATTTAGCTTATTTTTAGAAATTTTTAAAATTTAATTTTTAAGCTATAGGTACGTATACGTACGTATGTATAGACATTTGATGATGTCCAATACCAGATAACACTATTATTATATCGATATAGAATATTGACTATAAATATAGAGTATAGACGTTTAACTTTAAAATTGTATGATGTAATTTCTGAAATATTACCTATTATAGATAAGAAAGGTAGAACTGATGTCAAAATGAGAGGGAAAATGGATTGATAAGATACAGCATCCCAGGATATTAAAAATAAATAATAAAAAATTGTTAAAATCAAACCGGTATGCAATCCGGAAATACACCTCTGAGACGTGGCATGCAATTCGGATAGACTCCTGTAAGACATGGCATCAGTGGCGGATTAGAGGGCAGGCTAAAAGGCTTATAGCTTAGGGCGGATTTTTTTTTTAGAGAATTAAGGGTTATTATTGACTTATTAGGTATATTTATTTTAATATATTTTTTTTTATTTGTCATTTAAACATGAATAAAAATAATTTTAAAAAGTTATAATAATATATTAATATGTACATTGTACGATGCGTACTTATAGGCTATAGTAAGAATATTACAATTATTATTACAATTTGAAAATATTTAATTTGTAATAAAATAATTACAGATAGTTACTAGTTATAATTAATAACTTATTAGTACCTATGTACTTATTGGGAACATCAACTATCCGAGTATAGGTATTTTAATATCTGGCTATTTATATTTTCGTTATGTGATTGTATAAGCATTGTTTATTTGTATTGGTAATAATGGTATTTGAAGTAAAATAATAGACATGAAATATTTTATTTTTAGAAGTTTTATATTTTATACTTTTTTTTGATTAAAAAAATGAATAAAATTTGAAAAGAAGGGTTTAGACCAAACATTGTTGGTTCCTTAGTAGAGTGATAGAGGGGGGGGTTAGAGAGATTAAGTCTAGGGGCGCCAAAACGCTAAATCCGCCACTGCATGATATGCAATTCAGACAGAACCCTCTAAGACCTGGCATGCAATTCGGACATTTTTTTTTCATGCAATTTGAATGGAGTGCGAGCGCAGCTTCGTCTTCTTTGACTCGAGTACCAAAGACCAACAACTCTTGGGAAGACACGAGCCACGCCGCGCCACGTACTGTGGAATTCCAGATTTACAAAATCAAAAACACCGCAAGTCCACTGGCACATGAATGTTTATAATTCACACTGATAATTTATCTTATGAATAGGTATCACTCCGATAATTGTTCCTCCGAATATTGTTTCTTGATAGCTGATGGTAATTCCAACATAACGTGAGCGTTATCGGTAAACATTCCAATTTAAAATTAGTTAAACAATATTTCACCGAACTGAGCATGTAGCGTGATCGGACTGTTGCGTCACCTATAGTGCGAATAATGCCTGAAAACATCGTCTTTTGAGGCATCGTTTCCTAATATCGAAAAATTTTAAGAATTATGCAAGTGGCAAGAGATTTTTTTCTGTTTAAAAACGTGTAAAAAATTATTTAAATCATTAATACAAGGAAAAATTTCCAATTTATCAATTTTATGTATAGAATCTGATTTGGTTGAGGAAATGAAGTGGGAAGAACTGACACAAAAATTTGCAAATATGAAATCTAGAAGAAAAAAAATAGATTTAAAGAAAATAAATAACATTAGGTTTTTTTGTTAATTGACGTTAATATTAAAAATCACTTAAATTATTTTTTGTATAATTTTGAATCAATTTATTAGTATTATCATTGTATTTTGTGACTATTTTCCATTAATTTAAAAAAAATTCTTTGGAAAACTATTCTGTGACATTTAACATATACTATAGTTATATTTTATGATAGTATTTTATTTTATTAATTTATACATACAAATTAAATTAATTAAATTATAATATACACAGGAATATTTTTTTTTTTTGTCTCATTTAAACCATTTTTTTTGGTGGGGAAGGGGTTAAAAATTATTTTCTCCAGAGCGGAATTGACCCTTAATCTGGCACTGTTTCCTACTACGTAAAATACATATTATTTCCAGCTAACACCACAACTCATCTCTACTTATTTTATCGATACTTTTCCCACCAATTAAATCAAAATTTGTTTATCACTGTTATTTATATATTGTCAATATTTACCCTTCCCTCATATAATTCTGTTTCATCAATATTGAATTAACTATATATACAGTATATATAGTTACCGTATATACAGTAACTGTTATTCAGCCTTCTTTATAGTTTTAATTTTTAGTTAATACTTTAATTTTTAGAAAATTAAATAATAATATTTATGGTAATATCTTACCAATTAAAGTGGCCAATATTTGCCTAAACACACCTTTTCTTGACATTTTGTTCAATTTATATTTCTTCTATTTAATGTAAGATTTTTCATCTGTAAACGAAAAATGTGATTTTTATGTCATAAATGATGATTGTGTATTCACGCATAGCATTAACAGCGTACATATGTCACGTATTTCGCTAAATTTGTCTGTTATAAAGCAAATATCTGTCCGACTTTTCCGAAATTGATTTCATCAAAAAATGCTTCTAAGTATTAAAAGTACGTTAAAAAATCGTACGATCCCTAGAGATCTAGTTAAGATTCTTAAATCCCAACAAAAACACTTCGTCAACTCCGTGTAAAAAAACGCCAAGTAAAAAAAAAAAAAATGATATAAAATGTGTAATATAAGGTGGGATCTAAGTAAATGGTCTAACATGTAAAATGTACATATTAGTAATAGTAATTAATTCAAAATTAATAAAATTTGGTTATTTGTATTATTAATTTATAATATGATTTATTTTAACTAAAATTTATCTAAATTTAGTTTACTTGGCCGGAAGATTCAATCTAAAAAATGTATAGCCAAGTACTAAGTTTATGTAATAGATAATGTAGGCTTCATTAAAATAAATAAAATTGTTTCCGGTCAAATAAACTAAATTTAGATAAATTTTAGTTAAAATAAATCATATTAAAAATAATAATACTAAAATTAACTAATAAAGTATATTATTATACGTATTATTTTTATTTTTTTTAATTATCCATTTTATTACTCTATCAGCAATACACCTACCTTTAAATAGAGGCATACTGTCTACCAAAACACCAACACTGTGCTGTACGAGTACATACCCTTAACTTAGTAGTGACAAAAGTAAATTTGAATTTATAAAATAAATATTAAACACTTTATAATTTAATGTCTATTACATTATTTAATAGGATTCAGAAACAGCATTATTCTGTAACCATTATAAAAAACAAAGTCAATCAACTTTTGCAAAAATAAATGATATTTTCAATAAGCAGAACCGTTATACTCAAGTTGCTGACAATAAAAAATTATATAGATGTATATCTCAAAACATCAAATGTTACTTGGTAGAATTCTTTATATGATAGTATGAAGTTTCTTCTTAGCTGTTATAGGTCAAGTACTTCTAAATTTAATTCTATGTGTGTATGTGTGACAAAATTAAAGTCTTAAGAATTAAAAAGAGTGACTCTAATTTTATCGAAGAATACTGCACAGCTATGGAGCCCCTAGCTATTTCACTTGATATCCTTCAGGTATTGTTCAAAATATTAAAAAAAATTATGTAATTTAAAAACGAATAATTGTAAAAACTTGAATCTATTACTGAATATTATAATTTCCTGGCATAATATAGCTGTTTCCAATACAAATTATTTATTTTTTCAGGCCCACTATAACAGAACTAATTTCAAAATTTGAAAAACTAAAAAACAGAGACATGTGTTATTTTCAGCCTTTAATAACTTCTCTTTATGAAGGAGTTGATAAAAAATTTGGACAACTTTTAAATGCTGAATTCCTCATCATTTCAGCGACATCACATCCATTTTTTAAAACAGCATGGATAGCTAATGAATACAAGAAAATACTGCAGTATTTTTTTTGCGAGACGCTCTTATGTTGACTCATACACGTGAATCATTAGATGGATGTTTAAACAGTCCCATAAGTGAACATGATGTTGATAGTGACAATGATGACAATTTTAACATATCATTCTTTTTTTGTACACAAAAAAAATCTGAAAACATTTCTGTCTAAGCAGAATTGGGTGACTTCATAAAAAGAAGTCCAACAAAGAAACTTGAAACTCTTCATTCGACTCCCATATTGAAGAAAGTTTTTATCAAGTATAATACTCCACTGCCGTCTAGTGCTTCGGTTGAACGAATATTTAGTGTTGGGAGAGCTATTTTATCAAAAAAAAAAAAGGAGGAAAAATGGATGATGAACACTTTGAAAAAACTATGTTACTAAAGTGCAACAAAAATTTTTGAGAATGATTTGTTTTAAATACTCTATATATCCTCTTCAACAATTTTTTTATTTCTTTATATTAAAGAATCGCTATAATTATTATAAAACAAGTTTTATTTACTCTCATTTTTCAGTATAATAGAATTAAGAATGTGATACAAGAATTTCTAATAATACTTAGCTGAATGTAACATGATATTTTAAAATTAGTTATTACAAAATGTTTTATCAACGGGTTCCTTATCGTGAGGTTGACACGAATGACGGCAAAACGTGCCCAAAATACTCCAAGAGAATAAAATGGATTTTATATGACAGAACAGGTGACTAGTACGAATAAGAAAACAAGAATGTGCCTTTTTGTTAAATGACGGGTCATAAAGAGCCGACGTACTATTAAAATTAAATATTAATGACATACAGCATTAGGGACGGGCGCCCATGGGGTGGGAAATATAAAGCTAATAATACTAATAATAAACGTAATACAAAATATATAAACAGAGACGCCGTACCGGCAATAATACAATAATATTTGTTAATACAACAATAATAAAAAAGAAAAGAAACCTGTCCGCGACTGATACAACTGGACTGGATTCGGCAGCACGTCCAAAGCGGTGATAAAAAAAAGGGAATGATGACGCCCACGCAGCTTGACTTATCCAGCCGTGACAATACCCGGCGGTAACACGCACACCGGCAAGACAAAGATACACGGTCTTCGATGGACACAACCGAAAAAAGCAGGATGCTGGTAAAACACACGACCGTGCGAGAGGTCCGTACCGCACGGGAGCACGCACACGACAGCAAAACAGCCTTTTTGTACGGGTATATGTCACACGAATTAGTCAAAAGCCGGGAGGAAGAATGTTCTCGTACAGACTTATAAATATCCAAATGATGGATAAGGATTAATGACTCGAATCGATATGACGTGTATTAATTGAACACAAAATGAATTTGGCTTACCGACTAGTAGAAAAGAAAGATAAAACAGTATTTGAAAAGTATTTAAACACATGGTAATTATTTATATTTGTTCTTAAATACTTTTTCCTGAAAGTATTTGAAATGCAATTTAAATACATTCTGAATGGATGTATTTGTATCTATATTTAAATATAATTTTAAAAGTACTTTTTACAACACTGATAAGCATGGCCGTGCCCAGGGGAATGCGAAAGGTGCGTGTGCACCGGGTGCCATGAACACTGGGGTGCCAAAAGTTTTTTCATAATCTAAGTAAAATTACTTAAAATTAACTATATTATTTAACTCAAAATATTTAACACGTTTAACGCCATGGTCTCGACGAGTACCTAGTCGACATAATTTACATTGTCTTGATCGGTGGTGTTGATAGTTTATTTTTAGTAATGGTATTTATTTTTGCCCCAAAATCGAGGAGATGATAAATTACCAATAATATACCATTTATATTATATTATTGTTGTTACTTTATATAATTAATTTAATAACATAAACGAACATCGGCTTGTACGTTCGAGTTGTACTATTTTATTTAGAACCTATCTATGATAGTATTCACATCATAGTTCGTTCATGAACATAGAAGTTGCAAAGGTACCCAATTTTTTTTTTCATTGGTAATTATTTAAAAACGTAAGTAATTTTTCGAGCAATCGAATAAATGTATTTCGTAAATAAATTATACCGGTTTAGAATGATAAGTTGTTATCTATATGTTTTGTTCTACCAATAAAGTTATTTTTTTTACGAGTATTTATAAAGCTTTTAGAAATATTATTAAAATCTTTTTTTTTTTTTTTTAAGAAATACAATCTCTTATACTAACCTGATTGGAACAATAAAAATATGTGATGAAGAAAAGTTTTACATGAAAGTTTAATGGGAAGAGTTACCCAGTGGTAACACTACCCTAACGTTTTTGTTATTTTTTTAATCATTTAGAAGATCGCTTGGATATGAGGAGATTGATATGAGTAGGAAGTTTTGAGTGGAATCTTTTACTGCTCCTTCATGGATGGTTTTAATTTTTAGATATGAGTAATGTTAGGTTTGAAATATAGGGTGGGCAATTTGTGATTTTGCGAAGGATATTATTTTGAAATGTCTGGATTTTATTGATATTTGTTTCTTTAGCATTGCCCCAAAGTTGTATGCCGTAGATCTACATAGGCTTAAGTAGGGATTTATACGTTAATAGTTTTGTGTTTAAAGGAGTGGGTTTATTGGATGTAAGTGTTTTAAGGACACGGAGGCGTACGTTAAGGGCAAGCATTTTGATTTTAATGTGAATTTTACAATCAATACTCCCGATAATTATAAGTAATTGCATTACTGGAAGGGAATCATTACGATTTCATTTGCAAGCAAGTATTGGAAGTGACAAAAAAAGCTCGTAGTTGTTTTCCTAATATTTCAGTTGCTCCCCGAATCATTGAACCATTTTGACGATTCCAGTTATTTCTGCTAGTGCTAAGAGATCATTCTCAAAACTAAAGCTTATAAAAATATACTTGAAGAATGCAACGACACAAAACAGATTATCTGGATTAGCAATGTTATCCGTAGAAAATGAAATGACTTCAAAACTTAATTTCGACTCAATAATTGATGATTTTGCAGCTAAAAAATCTAGGAAAAAAAATGTTTTCATGATCAATCATATTTTGTTCTTAATGTATAGCTAACCACTTGTAAGTTGATTACTTTAATTACATTTTTTGTTATAATAATATATTTTATATTACAATAATATATTCATGGACATTTAATCGAGTGATAACAGGTTTAAGAACCATATTATATGTCACAGTAAATCACCACACACACAAATTAAATTTAAAACTTACTAAAATATTAAAATGTTAAAGAAATTACAACAAATTAGCAAAGATACAGTTTATTAAAAGTGCCAAGAAGATGGTTAAAGGCAGACAAGCTTGCCGATCGCTTGCGGCGGTCGGTACACCATCCGCGAACGCTTCATGATACATCGCCGTTTCCCAGAACTGGTTCTTTTAATCAATCGGATGTCCCGCAGGCTTTATTGTAAGAATTTTTTCCAACTGCACAGTTAAAATATATGTTACAAGGAGGCTTCGCCCCACACTCTCCACGCTCATTTTACTGAGTCTGATGAAGCAGATAATGAATCACAAGACGTGGAAGTAGCCAACATCGGTTTTACTAACCTAATATTCAAACAATTCGTCATGTTTATAATTAATTTATTTTTATTGATATTTCATGAACGGTCAAATCGTCTTTTATAATAATAAAGTGCACATGTTCGTTAATTCTACAGCACATTTTGTTGTTCCTAATGCACAATTAGTGTCCTACTGCACCTTACAATAAAGTTTGGTGTCCCGATTGGTAATCAAACGTACGATGATATCAAGGCAAAGGGGTGTGATGGGTAAGATCGCAGTACCCGTGAAACACGACCGTGTCATAATGAATAACACTATCGAACGCGCGAATACAACTATTCAAGTATGTCATCGATTTCATTAACATATCAAATTCAATAATGTCTTATCAAAAGTAAAGCAGATATGAACTAATCTACACATGAACGTTTTCGGTATATTATCTAGTTTTATTGTGTGTATATATGAGCGTGACTATTGTTGAATAAATAACTTAAAAATCGTAAAAGTCTTAATTACTTAAAAATAGTCTATCAGTAATAAATTGAATTCAACGACCTACAAAGTCGTACGCATAGTTTAATGTTATAATAACAAATATAAATATTTGACAGCATATATATGTATAATACATCCAAAGATAAGATTAATTTTAACCAAGAGTCGTTTAAAATTAACTAATAATTAGTACAAAATTAATGATATTTTTAAATAAAAAAGAAACATTTTTCAACATAAATATAGATTTGGAATAAGTAAAAATGAATATTTTTAAAAAAATTTTATACTATATAATTTTAAAAGAAGTGTTTAATACATTTTTAAAACTAAATCATTGAAATGTAATTGTTACAATTAAACATTTTTGGCCACCTTTTTCAATTTTAGACCACTGTGCGATGGTCCTATTGGCCGAAATGTACTTCACTGCTGAATTAAATTTCAAAATTTATAACTATACACCGTATCACCGTATTAACCTGATAACCTTAACAGTACTGCGCATGCTGGCTCCTATGTACTTATATCAAATTCAATTCAATACAATTTATTAATTCCATACCAAAAATTATTTACACCCACATGTTTTACATGAAATAGTGCAGCTATAATTATAGGGCCTCCAAATTTATTTTGGTCTACATCCATACGACCAGTGGTGCACATTCATTCTTACCGACATAGGTGGAACATATTATATTAATATCGATCACCCACCCATTACCCATAAACATTACCAAATAAACTCTAATAAATGTAATTTTTAGCTTGAGTTAGTGGAATTTAGCACTCAAGGCATAAGCTTAAGTCCAATCACATGTTCGAAATTGAAATAAAATTTTGAAAATTGCAAATATTTTTAACCACCCAATTTTTTTCGAGGGGTTGACTGACCCCCTTGACCCGTGAGGTGTGCGCCACTGCATACGAGCATATTCGTTTGATTGAAATAATTTTTTTTAAATTGATTTTCTAATGCATGTTTACTTTAAATGCATTCAAAACATTGAAAATTCATGTATAACATTTTTTTGAATAGATGTTTGAATTTAAAATTTTATAAAAAAAATCTTTACCTGTTGGTATTACTCTGGTCAGTTTTTTAAATACAATAACTGTCAATTATTAAAAACTACAAAGATATTACTACAACATCCATAAAAGTTTTGATAGGTAATTTAATTTAAGTCATTTAGTATGTACTGACTTGTTTTACAAAATATATCTATTTATCATAATTGTTTTCTATATATTAGTTACAGAAAATATTAACGTAATAGCTTATAATCTTGGGGAGGCTTCCTAAGCTCTGACACTAACTACAAACACAATCAACATTATTATAGTTATCTATATGAATTATCATATATTCATATTTGTTTGCATATTTGACACTGTTAACTCTTTACATTTTATTCAATGATCTAAATATTAAGAGTGGGGCCCCCAAATGTATATAGGCTCCGGGACCTACAAAATATAAATTCAATTGCACCACTTGGTACCCTACGTGGGCGTCACTGCCGAAAATCATCCATTCAAGCAACGAATGTTCCTAGTGTAATCAATACTCCTGAAATATTCTCGATTTTTTCTTCACATATATTTCAAACTCGTGGAGTAAACCATTCTCCAATCAAATTCACTGTTGGTGTAATCCCTCGAACATCAATCAGACATTCTCTTACTGAAGGGCCGATCAAATTAAATGTTTTTCAAACCAATTTAGATAACAGTATCAACCTAAATATATTTCTCAAATATCATCATGAAATTGAAATAGCAACGAAAATTTTTACCAAAATAGTAACTAATTCTGCTGTTGACTCTGTCAGTTTGTTCCAACCAATAATTTTCCTACCAATTTACGCCTTCTTATTAATGAAAAAAGACATGCCAGATCCATAGGGCAGCACACTCGCTACCCCAGTGATACCATATCTCCAAAAAATTGAAAAAAATACTCAACTAATATAAAAGCAATCAATACCTAAATTATATCCAATCACTTGGAAAGTCACCAAAAATTTAACTAAAATAAATAGGAAATATATTTGTTTCTAAAAAATATATTTGATCTATATTTTTTTTTTCTCAAGATTTACTTTGTATAATAATGGTACTCACGTATTTTTTATTATTCAGTCATCCATATTGACTTTCTTTTTCTTTATAGTTTTTTACACTTATGGTTGATGAATTTGATAAAAATTATTTCCTTTATAACTTATATACGTAGAGATATTAAAAAACTTATCAAACGATATTTAAATTAAAACTATTTATATTTTGGTAATAAATAATAAATCGTTAAACTTCACACTGATTACTATAGTAACGATATAATTTGTATGAAAAAAAAAAATAAATAAAAATAATTGAAACAATTAAATTTAAAAATATAAATATCTAATACACTAGGAGTTTTCGATGTCTTAAACACATTCAGATGGATTCTTACGATGTAAAACTGTATTTATTTTAAATTTAAGCACGAATGTTACTGCTTGTAACAAACTATATTCTAGCTCATAATGGTCAAGAATTTGTTGAAAAAATAAAGGTTTGTAGTTTATTACTCTTAAACATTTCAACTATCTACAAATCTAAAATTACGTTAAGACTAAAATTTTAAGTGCAAAACTGTTCGAAAAATTATATAACTCAACATTAAGCTTCATTATATTATATATCGTTCATAAATGGTCTGCAATAAATTGGTTTGTTAATACAGGCATTAGAAACTCATCTTATCTATATATATATAGTACGTAATAATCTCAAGTGAATGTGTTTGGGAAACCAACACGAAATCGACCTTGGAGAATATAATATAATATTATCATCTAGTGCTTTTAAAAAAAAAAAAAAAATTATTGGGTAGGATTATATTAACCGTACATAAAAATATTCATATAATTAGATACTACGAACTCACGACGATTTTTATTCATTAGAGATATAATAATATTTGATTTCTTGTTGAGTTTAATTATTTTTTTTTTTACGTGATTTAAATTTTTTAAAATTTTAAGAAATACGTACTGTAAAGAAATATAAATTAAAGAATTCGTGTACCATAACAAAAAAAAATAAAAAATTATAAATTATACTCTTAAAATAGAGATGTGAAACACAACGGTGATCATAGGCGGATATTTAATTTCAACTGTTGGGGGAGGCTTAAAATTTTTGTCTTATTTATAGTGGAAACAAATATTTTTAGTCGCTTCCAACGCTTCCACCTACTAACTGTAGTGGCTACTCCTACTTGATTCTAGCTGAGGCACCATATATATATATATATTTATACAGGTAATATAGGAGAACAGAAACATAAAAAAATAAAATATTGAATAGCTACTAAATTATTTTTATTTTAATTGTATATATATATTTTTATGTAAAAATATATCAACAATTGTTTCAGTATAAATAGATTTAGAAATTTCTTTTTCAATATATAATATTGAGGTGTTGTTGAACCTTTTCTGCAGCATAGAAGTTCGAAGCCAAGTTTTTATACATGGCCCAGCGGCGCAACCACAGATTTTAGTGCCCTAAAGATGTTATGACTTTAAAATGACCTAATTTATTTAATTTTAAGTACATAAAATAGTTTACCTTATTATACATAAAATAAATAATATATAAATGTATTATTAAGGTAATTATACATAAAATATTTAATTAGGTAACGTTTTTAGTTTATATACAAATTTATTTACAAATCTTCTAAATAAATACTAGAAATATTGGAAGCAATAAACAATAAACGTAATTTACGTCTATGGGTATACTTTATTTTATATCTTATAAAAATTTTAGTTCATAACACATATATAATTAAAAAAATAATGATAACTTTTTTACGATAGTTATCACTATTATAGTTCAAAATCGCAATGCTTGAGAGTCGATCTTGACTCATTAAATTTCTAAGGTAATTTTTTATGAGCTTCAATTTGGAAGAAGTCCTTTCAGCTGATGCGACTGTTACGGGCAGTGTGGGGTAAATTAAAGAAGCACTTAATATATCACAATATGATGTGCAGTAATCATTTTTTAAATAATTTTAAATTTTTTAAATGAATAAAATTAGTTGTTCAATACTTTTCACTTCACATGTATCAATTAATGTTCTTAATGAAAGTAATTGCCGAGTTAGATCTGAGCTTATATCATATTTATAAATTTGGTTAAAATTATATGATGCTTTTATTAAGTCAACTTCAGGTAAATTTTTAAGTGATACTGGTTGTAAAAATCAAAGTTCTCGGTTATTTCTTTTAATGCAATAAATCTATTTGAAAGTTGAAAAATAACTGTATCGATTAGTGGTAAAAAAAACTCGAACCCTAAAGTTTTCTGCTGCAACATTGAATCGCCTATCACCACAAATTTCATCAAAATGTTTAATAGCAAATTTGGAACGAACTTCGTGGTAATCTTTGGAAATCCCCAATTTATCACACATATCATGACTTGTAACTAATAAATCATTATACTCATTTCTTAAATTTTGAATGATAAAAGTTGCATCTTGTAAATTTTTACTAGCATTGTGTAAATTGGTATTTTCACGTTGAAGAGACTGTGAAACTCCATAAAATGGGTTTAAATTTTTTCCCTCAGGCATAACATCAAAACAAATTCCAATTTTTCCATTTTTTTTTTTAAGAGTGTTTGCAATATTTATTTCTTCTTTTTTTTTCACTTGTTAAGGAGATAATGCATAAAGATTTTAAAACACCGATAAATCTTATGTTTAAGGCATAAATAGACACATGTCAAGATTCCCATCGGATAGGACAGACTTTTTTCAGAACTAATTGTTTGATTTTATTCGCATCACCTTCACCAAAAGCCAAAGTAGCCCATCTTGGTGCACTTGAGCTGAAAAAAATTAAATACAGCCTGAACAGTTTCAAAAAACGTTAATGCACTTTGGTTGCTCTTAACAGCATCTGCTATTATCAGGTTTAGATTGTGTGCACAACAGTATATATAAGATGCAGTTGGGACTTTATCTTTTATTCATTTTTGTAAACCAGAGTAGAATCTCTTCATTACTGCTGCTCCATCTTATCCTTGTCCTCGACACATATTGATATCTAGTCCCAATTCCAGTAATATATTTGTAATTAACTGATCATAATCTTTGACTCTGTGTTGTTGAACACAAAAAAAGCCCAAAAAGGATTCTTCGATACTCAAGTTTCTTGTTTTATTATCAAGTACTTCATATCTAATGACTATACTAACTTGGTCAGTTTTGGTGATATCTAATATAGGATCTATAATAATTGAAAACCAATGAGATTTTTTTATATCTTCACAAATTAAATTTCTTGAACTTGAAGCCAGTAAATCAATTAATTCGTTTTGTATTTTCCACCTGAGGTATTTAATTTTCTTTTCTCTTCATTTAAAAGATCACATATAATAGGATCAAATTCAGCCAAAAGATTAATCATTTGTAAAAAGTTTCCTAAACGACAGAAAATTATTAGTTATTAAAATAATTGATGCATAAAAATAATTATTCATGAGCAAATCATTATTTTATAAAAACACTTATACACATTATTAAAATAAAATGTATGTAAAAGTATAATTTACTGAAGTTCTCAAAATATTTAATAATTAATAAGTTATGAATAAATGTTTGTTCAAATTTATACGTAGATGATACTGATAAAATAATGATTGTTCAGTGAGCTAACTTTACTTAAGCTTTTATGTATTCAAAGTAAAATCTTACCAAGACTTAACAATTTTCCTTTGTTATCTTTATGTTTATGACCTCTCAACGCTGTATTCCTAGCAGTTAATGATAAAATTATTTTTATAATTCTTTTTAATACATTCCGCCAGTATTCAGTACTTCAATATCATATTGATGTTGTGTACTTTTGTCTATGGTTTTATTTTTTTCCCAACTAGAATGAGTTTTTCCAGCTTCGATATGTTGAACAGATGACTCATGTTTATCAATTTTTGATGAAAGGTGTCACCAATCATCGATCCCATTAACCCAAGATTCATGGTAGTAAAAATATTGACGATTAACAAACAACCAACATGTTTCACAATAAGCAACATTCCACCCAACAGAGTAACACAACCAAAATCAAGGAATAAATATACCAGGCTTTAATTTTACCGTATAATAATGCGTAGAGAATCGAAAACTTTTTTCATCATCATATTTTTTGTAAGGAAAATCAATTGCCGGTCTGCATGGACCATTGGATAAAATAAATCTCTTTATATCACTGTTAATATTTTTATCATAGTGATACCTATCAGATGGATATTCATACTGTATGAATGTACCTAAAATTAGAAAACCACATTATTTATGAAAAAATATAAATTTAATATAATTTTCAAATAAATTGCTAAATTCTTTTAAAACTTCTTAAGTTATTTACATACTTTATTTAATATACTAAGAAAAAAAATACCCTATAATTTATTATTGGTTTTAGCATTAATTTTATTTTCATAGAAATAATAACATTAATAAAACAACCATTTTTTTGGTGAATAAGTTACATTACCAAATTAAATAGAAAATTTATATATTTAATAAAAAAAAAAAATACACATACATATATATATGTGTTACGGTCAAAGTGTATAATCGGGCGTTGTAGTACAATGCCCAATTTCAATGGACAATGTGGACAATCATACACTTTGCCCGGGCATTGTACAGAATGACGAGAGCACAGTGGGCAATCACAATTAATTAATTAAAAATGTATAAAACAATTTTCGTTATCTTAATACTTTATTTTATGATTATATTACAAATTTTTTTATTTATTTTTACAACTTAAGCTATCATGGCATTTAGAAGTACATAGTTTACCTGCAGCCCTACACTTACATTTATTTGTCTTGCATTGCTGCTTACAGTTACACCAGTCATATCCTTGACCGCCAAGATTTGAAAATTTTCTAGTTGCTTCTATTAGTGATATCGGAGATGTTACTGTTACTGCTTCAATCTGGACAAACGACTCTTTGCATATTTCAAATTGGTTTCTAGCGTAAAGTTGTTGAAGTTTACCTTCAGTGGTACCATTTTCATAACTATTGTTTTTTATTGAAAAAAATCAGGTTTTAGTTATAACATAATAAAAAAATAAAAATCATAATTAAAATTACCAGACATAATGACTCCTAAAATGGATCGCAGATCACTCCGTGCTTTATCAACATCAGGTATTCTAATTTTAACACTTTCGCTAATTTTGCCTTCACGAAGTCGATGTTCGGAGTTAGTCTTCATTTTTAAAGCTTGAACTTTTAAATTATGCAACGATTCTCTTTTTTTTTCAATTATAGTTTCCTGTCTTGATTGTATAATATCAGCTTGTTCTTCGTTAACATCAATATTTTCTTCAGAAGATGTATCAACAGATTTTTCAGTATTAATAAAGTTCAATGCAGTTTCTAAATCTTCATCAGTCTTCAGCTTATGTGTAATACTTTCTGGTAGAGAAGTAGATTTCAAGCCTATTTTTTCCCGGGTACCAAACATAGCCTCATAAGGAGAACACTTAATTCCGTATTGTAAACTTCTGTTTTTCATAAATTATATGAATTTAAGTCCCTCACTCCATTTATTAGTTTTATTATTTGTTAACCAGGTGGCCTGGTTAGCCC